CTCTCTCTCTCTCCCACACCCTCACTCACCAGCCACAGCGGTGGTGAACCCAGCATTGTAGTCTGTGGCCACCTCGTTGTTCTGATAGTTCTCCCGGTCGTCCTTGTAGTCGTCACTGCGGCCTGGCCCGCCCACCAGGGCTCCGTACAGAGTGTGGGTGTTGGGGGCGTGGCTCCGCAGCACGTAAGAGCCACACTGTGCCGGGATCACCGGGCAGGAGCTAGCAATAGATCAAGGATAAATAATATATGTTCTAAGGTCCTTGGCAGAAATGGATGGACAATGAATAGTTGTATCGATGAAAATTTTAATGGTTTATGCACCTATCAAGCACGTGGATTATTTGACAAATTCAGTGCAGATCATTTCCTAAACATTCACGTGTGTGAGTGGTTTGCTTCTTCTTGTCCATCCATCATCTGTCGTCCTTTTACTTTTACGACTCTCCTACTTCTTATGTCCTTACCGTGTTGCAGGTGCCTCAAAACTCTTACCATAACAACCACACTAAAAACATTTACATGATAGTGGTAGACGAATGTCTGACTGACTAGTCTTGTATTCGTTATGAACTTTTGACCATTTTAGCACAGTAGTGAAGCAAGTGATACAGCTCAAATGTTTTTTTATCAAGTGATACTGATACTCCCCCTTTGATGGTTGCGTCGACCCTTTCCATTAAACAGCGATGATCCATTTCACTCGATTATAATTATTGTCTTTGAGGAGCGGGAAGAGAGTGTTCAAACAGTTTTACCGATTAGACACGGCTGAGGTAGGCCAATGATGGCATCCACAAAGAAATTACATGTGCATGGTAAGTGTATTTGTATACATTGTACTTTTAATGCCAGTTTCTACACTGAATGCTGAAGTTTAATACATGTATAGTCAACCCTGCTTTGACGGCCACCTGTATAAGACAGTTACCTGTGCAAACGGCCATTTCCTATCTCCTTCCTTGCGAACAAATAAACGGGTACCAAGTAGAGAATCTTGACGGGTACTGTACTGTAATAATAATATAGCGCTGCAGCTTCCGTACATGGTACTGGTACACGTATAGGCTAAGCCCACTCGTATACATCTCGGTGTAATGTTAAGTTAAGGGCGGGTTGTTGTTTTTCTTTTTGTTTATGTTGTTGTATATTTTGGTCCGTTTGTTTGTTTGGATTTAATTTGGGATCTTGTTTTATATTGGGGG